CTGTAGACTAATTAGTCCTGCTAAGAAGCAGGATGTAATAGTCCAAGCTAAATGCTTTGAGGTACTTCACAAGTGAGATGATGCATAGCTGTGTGGTGCTGTGCTCCTGCCTTCCCCTTGCTCTGTGCTGAGCCCTGCCAAGGATGCCTTCCCTCTGAAACCAGGGACCTCTGATATTCACAAAAATATGTGAAGCTAGAAAGCGTAAAAGAGTCTACTTTATCAAGCTCCCACAGAGAAGCTCAGTGGTTTGCCCAAGATCGGACAGCAAGAGAGGGGCAATTCTAGAGAGAGAGCCCAGGAAAACCTGGGAGCTTGTTTCCATTGCTCCAGTGCTATCTCAAGGCACAGGACTCAGAGCTGAGCATCACCACAGTGTCTGCACTGCTGCACATGCATATGTGGGGTCTGAGACCATGGGGTGCTTATGCCAGCTTTTAGCTCACTGAGGGAATACATACACTCCTTTCTGGAGGTGAGGCATCATCCTTGAAGTGGGAGAAAAATACTGGAAGGAACCAGCAGCATTAGGCACTGGGCAGAACTAAGTCAACCAGAATGCAAAACTGCAGAAAGAACTGCTAGCATTTTAGCCTAAAAGACACACACAAAGTAAAGATGGTGAAGGTGAACTTAAAGAAATGTTTTGCCCAGCATTGTACAAAGACAAATGGGAATGAAGGTGAAGAATAAGAATACCAAAGCTTACACCATGTTGCATTGTCCTCCAGATAGTCCTCTGGGAAGCAAGAGGGAAACAGATTCAGGGAACAGAAAAACAAAACAAAACAAAACAAAATAAACCACAGGTTATACCAAACAGGCAACCACAGAGAAGATAACGAGTTTTTATAAGCAGTTGATTTTAAATGAGAAATTTTAGATCATGCTCTACAAAAGCAGTGGTTAAAATTACTTAATTTCTGAAAGTGTTTAGATTACTGAACTTTGGGTGTAATTCCTAGATGCCTAGACTAAGGTTGTCACTTTTTGGCACTTTGCAGTAGAGGGATATGGAATGATTTCACTGAGATGTTTAAATATATACATTAGGAAGAGATGATTCATGCTTTAAAAATATTTGATCTCAGTTCAGTTGCCTAAGCCTATGTTTAGACAACTGAATGAAGACCTTTATTTCTCTCCATTAACAGGAAAAACTACAGTCAACTAGACTTTAAATCTAGGTAACATGTTATAGGTATCTACACTATGGTTCTCATTCTGATTTGATATATATATTGATTCTGATTCAATATAATCAGAAAAGTCCTCATATTTGCTTTTTTTTACAGTCAGTAGAGAAATAGGGTGGAATCTAGTTACCTAAATATAGGCATTCCAGCCAGGTCTCTCATAACTTTGCTTTCAGGTATCTCAGTGTTGCATATCTACATGTGGTTATCTATCTCAGTTGAGCCTTTCATTTCCCAATCTGTGGGAGGTGCTTGTGACAGGTGGGGTGAATCACTCTCCAAAAATATGTCTCTCTCTCCATTGACTTCAGAAAGAGCCTGACTTTCAGGCCGTGTGCTGTGAAGATGTGGTTGAATTGCTGAGCATATGTATCTTGAATTGCTTGAGATGCTGCAGCATATTCTACCCAGCTCCCCACTGCTGCTCCAGAAGTATGTTGGTCTCCTCTAGTCTTGTGTCATATCTGCTGGTCCCATCCTTCAGATACTCCAGGATGTCTCAGATGGTGCTTTACATCCATGCTTAGACAACTCTCTCAAGCTCTACACAATTTCCTAAATACATCTGATGCATTTTAAACCAGTTATACCACTGCTTTTTGGGGATATTTTTTCTTTTTTAACATTTCTCACAATTTATTATGATCTATATCTTATTTATTAAGTTCTACTGGTTATGGCTATGACAATAACACAGGGAAACCACTTTCCCTCCTCTTGGAAAGGAATATCTGGATTAATCACACAACTTCAGGCAAGGATGAAGGAGCACTTTCTCAGATGGGTTCATCTGAATCACCTGGTGATTTCAGTGTAGGCTTCTTTCAAGGGCTGCTTTGTGCAACATATCTGATAAAATGTGCTCAACTGAATTAAGCTTATAAATGGGGGTATGAGCAGGAGTAAAAAAAGATTGGTTCAGACATGCTACATGTTTGCATAAGATTGAGATGCAGAGGAAATATCTTCTAAACTTGGTCTCTTCTGAGGACATGCTGTCAAAGACAGATGAAAGCAGAATTGTTTGTCACTTCTTTTGAGGTTTACATAGCAGCATGTTTGGACTTTGCGATGACAGTTTAAAGTTAAGTGGTCTGACAGTGTTTTATGAATACAAACTCCAGAATAGACTTCTAAAAGCATTAATGTAACACTGAACAGTCAGCTGACTCACAAGAAAAGACTTTTTTCTTACATCTATAATAATCAAAAGGTGCTTTAACTGTTTGACTCTACTATCAAAACGCTAATATTGTTGTACATTTGTATTACTCAAGCAACAGAAAATGATCAGTGTGCAGACTGGAAAACTGCTGTGCGTGGGATTGTCCTTATGTCCTGTTAGCAAGGCAAGAGCTAGGAGGATCTAAATGAAGCTGGTCCTCCAGGCTCTGTCTGTAGTTAATGAAGAGAGATACGTGATTCAGGGAATGATTCAGCACATTAAATGCTAAGGATCTAATGTAGGCAGGTTGAATAGTGTTCCTGAGAGGCAAGAGTGCAGCATTTATATCCTTCTGGATAAAATTACCCAAGTTGGTGTGAGATGCAGGCAGTGACCTTTCCCAAGTGCTGCTAAGGGATTACAGCTCTGAAACAAGGCTTTCTGCTCTAATCCACATAAACAGCCTTTCCTTGCTCCAGCTGAGGTCAGTGGCCTTCTCTGACTTGAGGGATTGTTGGTCTCAGACCAAAAGGAGATAACACGTGCATCACTGCCATTTGGAGATGGATTTGATACCAACACTCGTCACTAACAGACCACAAGTAGTTATTATTTCAAATATCACCAGCAAGAAAAACAAATAGGCATTTGGCTTGAACACTCTTTAATGTAACAGCAGCAATGCTAAGTTATTTGGTTTTGGTTTTATTTTTCTTTTTTTCTGAAATAATGCATGAGCAAACCTAGTTAAATCATACAGACACAGATTCCCCTTTGAAAATCTACAAGTTAGTAGGAGTTAGAAAGGATTATCTGCATTGGCATTTTTCATTAGCTACAGCCTTTAAAGGCTGGCAGTATATGACACATCTCTGCTTCATTCAGGATGCTGCTCAGTATTTTGGAAGGTTGTAGCTAAAAAAGGATATTAATGTGTTCATAAGTATTCTCCTTATGTCGATATGGAATATCTCTTAAATCTGTCTTTTTGATTGCAAAAATGCTCAAACTGTTTTTACAACATAAGAGTAATCTAAGCTGAACTGTGTTGCCAGCCTTCCTTTTTATGTTCTTCCTCCCACTTCCTCTGTTTGCAACCTTTAAATTCTAGATTAAGATCCAGGTCTCTGCACTGAGCAATACACAACAGCTGGTTCTCTGAATCTAAAGTGAAAGGGTGAAATTAAGATGCCGTCAAATATGGATTGAGTATTTCCAGCCAGATTTGCAGCCTAAGATGCTACACTGGGTTATGAAACTGCCGTGGTAGAAAGAACTAAGTATACAATGGAGGTAAACATCTTTTCTGCTTCTCCTTTTAGGATAACCATGCTACATGATTTCTAGTAGAGCAGGGAACTAACAAATGTTGCTTTTTGCTGCAGGGTAATCCCATGTCTTGACTAGAAATGTCATGTTAGTTACCAGCTGAATTGACACGAAGATTGACAGAATACAGTAGACAGAATACAGCATAGACAGAGGCGTTTGGAAAGACTTGGCACCGTGGAAGGTTACTGTGATCATCAAAGGAATTTGCTGAATGATGGTGTCAAGAAGATACCCAGGTCCTTATCTGAATCAGTGCATTTGGGTTCCTGCTCAGTGATTTAAGCTGCATATTGGAGAAACCTGTAGGCATTTTAGGCTCATGATCAGAACCATAGCAAGACGTTTTGGTGCCCTAATGCAGCCAGCACCCGCCTGGCACCCAGCAGGAGTGCAGCTCACCAAAACCTTATACCCCCAACTAAAGGTGGCTGTTTCCAGCTGGGTGCTCCTCTCCCCTCACTCTTGCTACAGCCCTGAGCATGATTCTCTTCGGCGAGACAGAGCAATGCTGTGCAAGTGTTCAGCAATAAGCTCAGCAAGCAGGGGGCAGGTGGTACAATCTGTTTTGATTCAGACACTTTACAACTCTTTAATTTTGCTCATTGGCTTTGCTTCGAGATGATTGCTGAGACAGTATTAACAGCTATAATAATTAGCCCACTCTAAATCTGTAGATGTATAAATAGCAGGAACATCAAAGTCTGAAATGTGAATCCAATGACGGGTAGTAAAGAAAATAACCTTATGTTAAAGTCTTGTTTTCAAAATGATTGAATAAATAAAGCAAGATTAATGCTCACTGAAGTTTTAGCTGATAAAAGTCAGTTTTTGAGATGGATGGTGGAAATAAAGCAGTGGTAATTTTATAATTAAGTGGAACAAATCAATGTGCCTTTTCAAATGTATATGTTAAGGAACTAGCTGCTAATATTGTTTTAATAGATAAAAACTTTTAAAATAAAATAATAATAATAAAAAAAGAAATATTGCTGTAGATCACTTTTCAAAGAGAATTTATACTGCAAAGTACCTGCTGTGGCTCATCTGTTTTTTGGTCTCCAGGAAGGAGCTTATTCTCTTCTAACATTTCTAATACATAAACCTCAGTCATATTGTTCTCCTATAATGCAATTCTGTACCATTTCCAATGGAGAAAAGAAGATTTACTGAATGCTGAAACAGCTGGCGTAGAAACTATACAGAGTGATTATGAAATTATGAAAAAAAATTGTTAGGATATTACCACTCTTCTATTCTATTACCAAGCCATTTGTACTAATTTTAAAATGGAATATATTTTGCCTTACCAGCCTATCCAAACTTGTGCCAGCAGCAGTTGTAGGTCGCTCCTCCGGGTTATATGGTCTAAATCGGGTATTGAAGTTTTCAGAGACAGAACGGGAAGATCTCAGGGCAGGTGCTGGTTTAGGTTGGCCGCATCCTTGAAAAACCTGAAAAAACCATTGCAGGTTATATGAAAATAATAAAAATTAAAGAAACTTAGTATTTTATAGTTTCTTTATTCTCTCTTTCATATATTTGAAACCAGCTTTGATTGACATTTTGATAACAGTGAATTGAGCACTTGCCCTGCATTAAAACTCAGGTTAATTATTAAGCATTATTAATTACTTGGTGAAGGTATAAAAACATGTAGGGACATTAAAACCCCCCTTAATTTAGGAAAGTGATTATTGTAAGAAGTTAACATCTGAAAGCATTTTAATTGCCGTCTTTCCAGGAAAAGAAATGAGCAAAAGGAAGTCCTTTGTGGCAGGACTTAGTTGATAATTGTTTTATTTTTTGTTGAAGTGTGGTTTTTACAGAATCACAGCTCATTCATAATCCCTACCCACAGTTCTTCCTAACTTGTAATTTTGTTTGTAGCCTCATTGAAAAGGTCAGTGATGAAATAGTCTTATAACTGGATAACTTTCTTATTCCCTACAAATCTCTCCCTAGAAGAGGGGTGAGGCATATTGAGTGGGCAATAGTGAGAATTATTTTCTGCTAGTGTTTGTTTTCTAGGTATAAAAAATAATGTTCAGGGTTATGAAATTTCTCATATGCTTCCATTTGGAAAAATGGCATATATTTGGTGGATACTAAAGGACACAGAAGACACTTTTGACCACTGGATATCAAGTATATATCCCAGAGGAACTTTCACTCAAGCTGCTCAGCTGAAAGTAGGTAGACTGTTCACAGAGTTAAATTTTTCAAGTGCTCTCATGAAGTAGGATCCTAGTGTTTGCCTTCATACTAACTTTTTCAGTTCTGTAAGCATCTTTCTTTTTTGTGAGCATTGTATTTTGGCTGTTTCAAAATTTTGCCTCCGTTCAGAAGAAAAAAAAATTTAAATGTAAAATTTTATTCTAAGATACTTTAAAAACTCCTAATGACAAACTACCTGTCTGAATGAGCTTTGTGGAGGTAAAAACTATGCAGGTGCTGTGTTTTGTCTGTAGGACCACATTACTCCCTTTTGTGTGACAAATAATATAACAAGCTCACAAGCTATGTTGTCAGCCACTTACCAAAAAGACTTATGTTTCACTTTTGGGATTTTAGATTTCCTGCCTTGAGTGGTTCTGTCCTGAAGTAGCCATGGATGGCGTGACTTCTGTTGCTTTCAGGATACATTACAATTGGCTCTTAGTTAGGTTTCCCGATGTTAGTTTAGAGGCCCCAAATGATTAAAAATTTGCTGAAAGAAACTGATTCATACTAAATTTATGTCAAATCATCAGGTCTGTTTTGGCTCAAAGTCCAGCAAGTCAGCTGTTGTATGGCAATTGGGATTTTTAATTTATAAGTGAAATACTGCTTGGTCTGGTTTGAAAATATCTGTAAGATTTTTTTGAGAGTTTCTAGTCTCCCTAATCATGAGGACTATTGGACAATAAATTCATTTAATCAGCCAGGAAAGATGATTGTAGATTGTAAAGTTCTAATTTTTTCTGAGGAAAGAATCTTATTTTTCTTTTGTGAAGAAAATTTAACTAAGATTGATGTTCAGGATTTATACACGATTGTGTATGATATTGTACATTTTGAAGGGCCAAATATATATGTTGAGGGCATCAGTTATACATATAAAGGTTTACCCATATTTCTTCTGGCTGAATATAAGTTATGCATAGAAAACATAACCATTTATTTAGATATCTATGAAATCCGACTTAGTCAATGAAGCAATCAGGTATTTGCTTACAAAGAAAAGTGACAATTATCCAAAACATGCAGCTTAACTCTAAGAGGAAAGGAAAATGAGAGCACTGAATCTTCTCCTTAAATTTCACAGCATGTGACTGTTAGGCTACTTGTATGGCTATGTGGAATAACTGCAAGTCTACATCGTTTATATTTAATTTTTCTTACATGCTGAAAAAATCCCCAACACAGACTTTGTGGCATTTAGCTTCATGCAAACAGTTGTAGCAAGTAGTTTCATATGAACAAATTTACATACAGCCAGACAATAAGAGAGATGGAAAATAGATAGCATTTTTTATATTACAGAAGAAGAAATAATTTACTTTTTAACTGACCTGGCAGAAATGCAGTAAGGATACAAAATTCAGTAACTAAATTTTGAATGTAAAAGAGACATTTTCTTATTTGAGTCCAGGTATTAGCTGGCAGAACAGGAAATGTAAAGCTGATACCTGAAATTAACAAATGGTTCCTAAGGAGAAGAACATGAAATACTTTCTTCACAATGCTACTCAGATATACTGAGCAATTTCTGGAATAATATTCAGGTGTTTCATTACACATGCTGTGAATTGGCAGCATAAGTCCACTCTTTAACAAATCACATTTTATATAGAATTGGTGCAGTCCATTTCATCTGAGTTTAGAGAAGGGATTCCATTTGAAATTAAGAAACCTAAATTTAGGTATGTACATATATGTGTCTATTTTAAGCTAAAAATCTAAGCTTCAGTTTTAGACAGTGGAGGTCAAAAGCTTCCTCTGGTTGCTCTAACATCAGCATCTATAATAGTTTGTGCTGTCCTGGGATATCTGAGACATCTGTTAAGACTGTCTTAACACAAGAACATTCCATGCTGAACTACAGTTGAAGCTCAAATAGGATATCCTAAGGTGTCACAGAGAGCACCAGACCCCTATGATCAGGGACATGAATGAAGCTATGAGATCAAGTCAACAGAACCAGTGAAGAATTACAACTATAGAGCTGACTAAAAGGAGGTATCTACTTCAGGACTAGGATGTAGATACTGTAAAAGAAGAGTCTTTTTCCCAGAACTCAACATTTTGAATTCTATTAGATAGAGTTTATTCTCTATGAAGCCTTGAGTCATACTCTTATTTAGACATGTGCTAGTGTTTGATGTTTCCTATTGAGTGTCTCTATATGACTCTCCTCTGTTGACTCTCTCATCTTCAGATAGAATAGCATTGATTTTTTTTTTTTCCTGAAATGTCATTATATTTTTCCTGCACAGAGCTCTGGAAAGGACACAAATAAATGAAGAGGTTTTGTTAATATGAAACTCGAGGGCTATTTTAAGAAGAACCTTGGATGTAGTTTTATGAAGATGTCCTCCTTATAAATAATGCAAACGTAGTCTGCTATGTCATGGAGCTCATTCATCTTTTTAGCTAAAGTAATTGCTGAAAAGGAACATATATCTATATGTTAAAATGGCACATCCATCAGCTCAGATGAAAGTATTTACTAAGGGGACACTCAGTGATGGGATAGCATTTATGAAAGTGAAAAAATCTTGGCTTTGTAGCCAAATGACACTTACATCAGCCAAACATACCTGTATAGAACCAGACTGTTTAAAGTGCAGGAAATAGTCCAGTATGTTGTATTTTGAGAAGCAATGAAGACATAGTTATGCTAATGCAACCAGATTAGGAATTTTCTCCATTTGAAGAAAAATGGATGCTACAACATGTTTTCTGCTTGTTTCTTTTGAATTTTCCTCCACTTCTTGTGTATGAGCAATGTCTACAGATATCAACTACTAAGCATTCATATTGTTAAAATGGAACAGATACAGTGTTTACTCTTTAACTTGAAGCAGGAATCAAAGGTAATGGTACTGAGAGACTTATGGGAAGATTGTGAAGGCCCTCAAAACACATTTGTTTTCGACAAGATTGAAATGAGTATTTATGTGTTATGACTGAATATGGCTCCTTGAATTACCTCAGGGAGAATGAGAATAAGAATAAGGTAAATGTATTCTGTGACTAAGTCTTGGATAAGAACTGAGCCATGGGAAATGATATACAGAATATGAAACTTTTACCTGAGAAATAATCAAGAGGTTGCTGAGCACTGGGTTTGGCACTATAATGTTCAAATAGCAAAGAGGTGTCACTGGTGAATAACAGAGAGATTTCAATAATGAAGATAATGTGTCTCAGACATTATCAGGAGAAACCCAAGGCAAATCTATTGCAACCTGACTTCTACCAGAGGCAACCTTCAGGGAACATAATTGAAGTCTGGGTAGACCTGGGTTGCAAAGCCCACTCTTAAAAAGTGCCAATGTCTTAGGAGGTATCTCAGGCAGCCCAGACTGATTGCTTCTGTGCTCTGTGTGCTTTGGTTTGCAGAAGGTATTCTGTCAGAATGACTGCAGGCGTTAGATGATGAAGCTAGGGAAACTGGTTTTGATGATGTTCAGTCCTTGCCTTTTTTTTTTTTTTTTGAGAAGGGAAACTCAGGTCTGATTCAGAGTACATACATTCCTCTAGCAGAAGGGCCTTGGGGTCTTACTTTCTAGAGTATTGCTCCTTTTTGAAAAGCATCTCAAGATATTGCAGTTGTCAGGAATGGGACTTTCTCTGCAGCAAAATAAGGATCTTGTGTGTCTGTCATTCAGGGACATGACAGCCACACAAGGTGAGCAGCCTATGAAACCTAGAGATCTGTGGTCAGACAGCCTGTACTGAATATAGACGCAGACAAATATTAAGAAAACAGGGAAAGATTCCGGCCCTAGGATGAATTGGAGGATCTTAACATAATACTAGTACCTGGTTAATCTGAACTGTGCGAAAAGAATCAACCACAGTCAGCACACAAAAAAGAAAAGTTTATGGCCTAGGAACTGAGATGCTCCATTTTATGCACTGACAGGTACTGGGATGTGCCTGAGTCTATATGTCCTTGGACAGATGTACAAAGATAGAAGAGGTACGTGTGGAACTTCTATAATTCTCTGTCTCGATATTGATGTGCACCCATCAAGAGTGGAAGACAGAGGGTTTGTGTCTTCTAAGGAAATGAAAGACAAGGCATGAACTCAAGCAATAAGCCCTGACTGCACTGATTAATTGTTAACTCATTGGCTTTTTCTTGGACTGATCCAACTTGCTCTTGGCAGAATGAAACAGCTCCAGAGAAGGCAGGTCTCAGCAGTATAGAAATGAATCAGGCTATGACACTTTGGCTTCAGGATCAGGCACTGGTCCTTGTCCGCCTTTTATTTATTAACATAACTGTAACCATGAAGACTATTTCTCAGAAGAATAGTGCTGAGTAGGAGGTGCATATTTATAGGAAAAAGATATTGGTCAATCAAGTGATGAATGGAGAGACAAACTATAAAAATGGAGACTTAAGAAGTTCATGATGTATTTTTCTGCTGATGTCTAAAACCAAAGTCTTCATCATTCACATAAAAGCATGTATGCTTACTTATTTTGATACACTTAATATGTTGGAAAGTGTACATTGTTGCTCACTTCGTTTTGCCTCCATATGCATAGTAATGTACAGTCAATGTGGTATATCAAACATATTTCTATTTTTCTCAAATAAATTTCAATACATAATCTCATCTGGTCTAACACAAAACATCATTTTGTGATACAAAGACAAATTGATAATGAAATTTGATGTGAATGACTTTTGGAATAGGGCAATTTTATATAAATATTTGAAACAGGAGGGGGATGGATTTTGGATTAAACGAACTCTGGGTCTTCTGCCTGCAAAGAGGATGAGATTAGTGAGAGATCCTTGAGGAAGAAACTGTTAGTTTTCATTTGTTCCATTAGTTTTAAAAGAGAAACAATATTATACAAAATGGCCCCAAATTCTACTGAATACAGCATACAGCCTCCTCCTAGGCATCAACCAGATTTTTAGGTAGAAAAAGCTGCATGTCAGTGGTGAAGAATAATCTATGTGTATGTGGGTGTTACAGGCATAACATTATTAGTGCATCATCATTTTCCCATTGTGAAAATGCACTGACTGACTTGTCGTAAAATAGCTGTGATTCCTAGTCACCACATTTTCAGTGGATACAGTCAAATGCAAGATACAAAACTGTTTGCAGGAAGAGAAAATAGTGTGATTTCAACACCCTGCCTGAAGCTTTCTGAGAAGCATCTCAGAATAATTGACAAGCATGGCTTTTCTCCTACATTAAGTCTGCAATTGCATTCCATGCACCCCATTACATCCAGGAAGGTAACTGTCAATTTCACTGAAGCTCTAAGTGGTCAGTATGTATAAAGGGGAAAAATTAGACAACAGATGACTGATTCAAAGTCCACTCATGTATCATCTCTACAAATCTGACATGACATAGGAGAACACAGCACTAAATCCAAAGTCTTTTACCTTCTTGTATTTTTCTTTAAGAATAAAGAATTTCTATGTGATAGGACCTGAAAAAAGATGGATATAACCTAGGAAAACAAGGAAATCACATTTCAGGAGAATAATGGTCTACACAGAAATATACAAAGGCCCCTCAAGGTTAGACAGCTCTGTTATCTATGAAAATATAATAAAATAAATTTCACCGATATAGTTTGGGTTCTGTTTCTCAAGATTTTAAAAAATATTGGCTAAGGTTTCTTTTAGAAGAAAAACTTTACATTGCAAATGCAATTTCTGTTATTTATTAATCTTTACAGCAAATAAAATATTTCTGAGGGACAGGAAAAACAGTCTGCTCTGTTACAAACGAGTAGTGAGATGAGCTTGTGCCAAGATGTCATTGGACTCTGGCAGGGGATGCAGCTTCCTGTCTAATGGAAAATCTGCGAGAACTGAACAAATAAAAAGGAAAATTAAATACACCTGAGCCTTGGGTGAGTTTTCAGTAAAAATATTTTTTTGTTTCTTTTTTTTTTTTTTTTTTTTGAGGTAAAGGCTGAGTTTGCTGAAGCTAGCATTTAATTCCCAAAATATTTGAGAGAATTTGGCTGTTAAATTCCTTGAGAACTGCTGCCAGAACAAAGTCTCATTGCACAGGATGTAGACTGCTTTTGAAATCCAAGTAACTTCACGTAGGTTGAAAGTAAAAAGCATCTTGAAAAAAATCCTTAGCAACCTGCAGCACTGGGGCCATAAAAAGCATCTAATTTTGGGTTGGCAGGAAGAATATTAACCTCAGCCTCCTGCCTTTTGTCCCCACATTTTCCCAGCTACAACAGCTTTCTTCCAAGCAATGGAAATTCACTGGCTTGGATGTCAGTCTCACCAGCGCCTAATAGGCTACTGGGAGATCAATGGGAGGTAGAAACACAGAGAACCTGGCAAACTGTTAACTTTAGATTTTGAGCTGCAGTGCACTGATGAATATTAAGGAAAATCCATTAACTGTTGACTATTGGCTCAACAGCACCTGCTACTGAATTCGAAGGATCTTATTAACATGAAGTTCAGAGGTGGTAGTGATCTGTTTGTGCACACACACACTAAAAATGGAAAGGAGAAAGCTGGTATCATTAACTCTGTTTATCTTCATGTCAGAATCCAGACAAAACTCTATCAAACTGAGGTCTGGTAATCAGAAACTGTCCAATGTAATGATATTTCCCTTGAGTGGCTATTAAAGGAGGTTAAATGGAACATTTTGTGTATTCACCTCAAAGACATTGTACTTCAGTCTGACCTAGACAGATCAAAATGTGTTTCAAAGTTAATATGGAGAATCACATATGAAACACGAGCAGAAGTTACCAAGCGTACTCTGCAGGATATTTCTTACAGAGTTACTGCTAATTTTCAGCACTCTCTGTTTTCTTGAAATCTCTAACAGCTATTAATTTGGAATTCACTAAATGGTAACTTTCTCCCTGTCGCACCCTTTTAAAAACTTTGAGCTTGTTTGAAGGATTCAAAGGCATTCTGGTGAACTGTTGAACGAGCAAAAGCAATTTCTAGTGGTCCGGACAATCTTTCTTAAAGTCTGGACGGAAAAACGGTGGAGGTGTTTTTCCCCCTGCTTGTGACATTCAGCAACAGAGAAGGCGCGACTCACACAGTACCTTTGCTGACACCTGCATGCTGTTTTCTTGCATGTTCATGATGGCTTCAGAAATCTTGACATCAATAGGATCCATGACTGATTCAATGTTGAATGGTCCCTCTAATCTCTCCGCTACGAGAAGCATAGCATCTGTTAAAACACAAAGCAGCCATTCTCTTAAAGAAGGGACACCTTCGGGTGCCTCAGGCAGAGCAGTGTCGCCAGCCAGAGGTGCGGGTACCAAGTGCTTCCAGGCAGGAGCCCGTGGCGATGTGTGGCAGCAGTACTGAGGTCTGCAGGGCAGCTTCCCCACTGTCAAAAACATCTTCCCCTAATGCTGCCACCACAGAAAGAGGAATAAAGACTGTAAAAGTTAGATTAATAATAGTTTCCATAGCATTATCGAGCTTGGGGTAAAATTATTTTATATGGCATCGCACCACTCGAAGCAGCCAGTGCTCTGGAGTGTACTTAAGTAGTCTTCTTCCCAAGAAAAAGCAGGATGATAGGAATGATCCCTGGGGTATGGTCTTAGAGTTTGTGTGAGATGATGAAAACTTTGATATGATATATCAGGGTGCTATAATTAAAGCAGCTGTTCTTTCTGACCTTAATGATCTCATTTTCTTGCAATATGAACAGCAGATGTATATTGGATTTCTGCCATAGTGTATAGGTGTAAACCATGCTTGCCTTGCTACATTTTCAAAACATGATTGAAAATTGTATGCAGAAATATATATTCTTTGAGTGTTTTGGATTTTAAAAACAGTTGTTTGCTTAATTTACATCAGAGCCCCTGTCCAAAATAATTTTATCTTTTTGTGTTTATTAGCAAGTAAAAAACAATCAACTGAACAGAAATTAATGACAGTAAAAGAGGTTTTGCCATACATCATATATGTTTGTCTATGCACAGACGCAGATTCATCACAATTTCTGTGGCAATAGCCATGTGATAAACTGGATTTATACTATACCTTTGAACATCATATTTGATCCTTGTCTCATGTTAGCATTTAAAATTTTCAGCATCTAATTAGCTTTAAACAGATGCCACTTGCAATTTTAACATGATAAACAAAAATCTTCATATGCTCTATTCTTTATCCGTCAGACTTAGGCTCCAAAAGGTACCAACCAGACTTCCTTACAGCACAGACCCCATGTGTGCTTTGCTGTTGTAAGCACTAGTCCCACGACAGCTATGTGGAGAAGGCATGGAGCACCTCATAGCCCTGACGGCTGTGTTTGTTAGCTCCGCACTTGGCTTCAGAGTCCGGGGGCTTCTTTCCAGCCTACATGGCCCTCTTCTCCCTCCCCACGGAAGCACATGTGCGTGGATGCATGGGAAGAAGAACCTGATGTCTCACCTTAGCAGTTGAGACACAGACTCCTATGCATAGCCTGACCTGAGGGGTAAAATATGTTGCTTATATGCAGACAATGTATTCATAAAAATACCATTGAAACTGAAATTACTTGGTATGTAGTCCCTAGGCACTTTTGTAAATTCGTGTCTCATATTATAAAAAGCTCTGGGGAGACCTTATAGTGGCCTTCCAGTACTTGAGTGGGGCCGACAGGAAAGGTGGGGAGGGACTCTTTATTAGGGAGTGTAGGGATAGAGTGAGGGGTAACAGTTTTAAACTGAAAAGAGGGTAGATTTAGATTAGAAATAAGGAAGAAATTCTTCACAGTGAGGGTGGTGAGACCCTGGCACAGGTTCCCAGAGAATCTGTGGCTGCCCCCTCCCTGGAAGGGTTCCAGGCCAGGTTGGACGGATCTTGGAGCAACCTGGGCTGGTGGAAGGTGTCCCTGCCAATGGCAGGAGGGACTGGAACTAGATGGTCTTTAAGGTCCCCTCCAATTCATACCATTCTATGATTCTATAATTCTATGATTTTACAGTACTTTTAGGCTGGAAAGAATATAATGCCAGTTACTTGGAGTGGGGCATATAGCACTTGCTGCTAACTGTGAAAAATAGTGAGATGATAGGAATTTGGTTTCAGAGGTGTTATTTTGGCTGTAGTTTATTTTAAAATTCTTTAGTTTAAACACTTTCCATTGGGAAACTTGGTGAAAACAGCACCTAGCTCTGATAGAAGAATCAAAACCGTTTTCATACACACAAAGATACACACACATGTACACATGCACACTCATATACTTAAAGATTTCTGTAATAAGTTAGCAATTTTTCCACATGCAAAGAGAATTTTTAAGTGTGAACTAGTATAAAGAATTTTGTTCCTCACATGTTCAGAATGACCTGCATAAAACATTTATGCCTTAGCACTTTGTGAGCAGTGTGATCAGCCTAAATCCTAGCTGCCTCAACCAGAACTAGGCATTGTTAGAGCACAGGTCTTGCTGGCTGGGTTTTGGTGATTTAGTTCAGGATTAGGGTTAAGATTAGGGTTAATGCATAAAACAGTCACAAGGTTGGGGGATTTTTTTTTTTTTTTTTTTTTTGTAGGAGTAGCCCACAGCTCAAGTTAAGGGCAGGTCCCTCATTGTACAAATACACTTTAGTTTGGGAACTAGCAAGTTGAACAAGCCTACTGTTAAGCTCAAATACCTGTGTTGAAGCAGAGTTCAGTAAATAGGTAATCACTGGAGACCCTTCATAAGAACGAGTGGTGGCTTGGGTCTATTTGCTTTTTCTTCCTATGGCATGGACATTAGTTCTAAATTAAATCTTGAAGAGGAATATCAGCTATGTGGCAGAATAAAAAAAACACATCATCCTTAACTGACCAAGAACCACAGCTTTAATTATAAGAACAACCTTTCCTCAATCAAAGTGCCTTTAAATTCAAAATTAATAGTTCTAGGAGATGCAAACTAAAGATAGGTTCCTAGTTTAGACAGTTTGTATCTTTAGAAAAAGCATCCTTTAGTTCATCAGTTTCTATTTTCTGAACCTTAACCCTACCCATAGACTTAGTCTTTCCTTAGTCTTTGTACTAGAAGTGGTCAGAGACTGAGAAATGTAGGCAATTCCTGGCTGCCAGAGCAAAGCCTCTATGAGCTTTTTGCTATGTTGAGCTTCCTTGTTTGATATAGTATGATACAGGTCTGATGGTGGGTTCAGGGGCTTGGGTTCAAGTTAAGGTTAGAGTCAAGTTTATGTTTCAGTGACATGGGGTATAGGATTATGCTAAAAAAAAGGGAGAGGACAGGAGATGGGAAATCAAGCAGTAGATCCTGGATTTTCCATATTCTCTAATTGCTATCTCCTTCTCTCTCTTGGAACAACTCTGGACTGCTCCAGGCAGTTATTCACAACATGGATCGGTGGAAAAGCTAGCCTGAAGCAGTGAACCTGTGAGTCAATAGTATCACTTGACATTGGAGCCCTGCCATCTTTTCTTTAGTTAGCAAAATAGGGATATGGCTGTGGATATTTCAAATTAAATATTTGAAATATCCACACCTTTATTGATGACAAGTACATCTTTATGTCAGCAGTCTGTATTTTTGTTTTGGAGCTAGAATGTGGGACAGGACTAGTGTTAAACTAGAGGCCTATACAGGTACATATTTGAAGAGTCAAAGTCTGACACATAGATTAAATGCTGGGATGAGAGATGATTGAAGGGCTAGGGTAAAACAAGCTTTTCCTGCAACATTATTTCTGGGGCTGGCATCTTAGGCTCATTTTAGGGCTCAGTTCAGACTGGAAGTCTTGGGCAATTACACAGTTCAGATGAGCTTTTGTACAAATGGAAAACTAATGTTTGAGGACTCATTTTATCTTCTTCAATTTCAGCAGGTGTGTGGGGCCATGGCTGATTTAGCAGTGACTGGACTGCTAGGTTACTCATGTCTCCTTCTGGTAGGAGTACTACAAGCTCAGTCAAGCAAAAGAGGATGAGCAAGTAGCACTTCTATGAACTCCAAAATGATTTTCTTAGCCTCTGTCTGACTGAACTCTTCCTTCTGCTCTTTCTCTAACCATTATGTTATTCCTAATATTGTCAAACCTGTCCAGGTGATATCTGACAGCCCCAGACTGAAAGAAGCCTTGAAGAGCAAGGCGGTCATATTATTGCGAGTGTGCAGGCCCCTTGGGAACATAATCACTACTGTAGTTAACTAGCTTCTATCTACTGATTTTTTTATTTAGCCCTCAGATTAAAATTCTGACTGAAGTTCCTATCATTAACACTGATCTCTAAAAAAAAACCCAACCTACAGTGTGTTGTCTTAAGGTTAATTCCTCCCTCAGTTCACTAGGTTGCATCCTCTTTTTTGCTGACATTAACCCTCAATTCAGTGCTAAATCTTATTATTCCCTTGCACAGTTCTGTATGAATACATACAAGATATACACACCAGGTAACCGATTCAATTGAATGAAATAAAAGCTGTTAGGTTGAATATAGTGAAAATCAGATGAAATTTAATGATCTGAGATGTATGACAGAACAGTCAAAATGATGTAATGGTCCTTCCCAGACTGTAGCTCTTCAAATATATAATCATGTAACAACCATAAAACTGTTGTCCCAAACCTCTTTTTTCTCCTAAAAATGTTATGAGTATTATTTCAGGAGAAGCTGGAAAGGTTTCAAAATGAAGTTAGGAAAATCTATGTGCCTCAGTCTTGAAATCTTAATTCTCAAGAACAGACCCTTGAACTCAAAGAAAGTCTAATTCAGTTCAGTGGGACACTGTGGGTTTAATAATTTCTCAATCAGCTCAAATAGTAGCTATTTGGAACTTAATTATTTTTTTTGTTATAAAAATCTGAAAACCGATTGATTGACTACCTGTTGTTTATGTTGTTAATACACTTGGACTGTAATGTTCAATTATATATGTTCTTTATTTTTATCTGTTTTGCATTTTTCAAAATCTGATTTCCTTAGGCTAAGTACATGTCTTCCCTCTCCATGTACTACAGCACTTGGCAAAAAGCTGTCATCTAGCTGCTTGGTGAGTGGATCAGGAACTTAGTTTGGGTAAGTCATTCTTGCATTGCAGTTTTGTTAGCAATGTGGAAACAATAAACATAACTAATTACTCACTTGAGGACATGGGCTTGGAAAACAGTCCTGAGAAAGTGCAGAGCATATGGCACACTAGATTCACTGTCAGTGCCACTGCTCTTGACCTCTCCTGCCAGATGTATGTTGCTC